GGGCCTTAGTTACAATGATGTAAGGGAAAAATAAACTTAAATAATGTGAGATAGGTAGAATAGTCTGAAAGTGATTATAGTCTATAATAAAGATATTTTCTCTGATGTGTTATTGGTGTTTTTTTGGGTCATCTGCTTGTCTTCATTTTCCACATTATGTCAAATACACAACTGTCATGTGTTTATTGAATAACATATTTGTTATTGATCAAAAATACTTCTCAAAATACAGCTTTCCATTAGGGATGGGCATGATTAGTCGATTAATCGATAATTGATTTCATTTTAATCGACAAACCGAATGTAGGTTGCTGTGCGTAGCGTGACCAAACAGGGGTCCGTACATGTAGCTCTCTGCACTCAGAAGGAGCGAGCAAACACAAACAGTCGGTCAGCCTGCAACGTACTGAAGTGCAAATGCGAACGATGTGCAACGATGACTTGTACAAGAAATTCCATGTTTTCCATTCCATTTGGGACAAGTGTGAATCCATGTGCACAGTGTATAAAGCAGCACATATGTTTCGGTGTCCAGTGTGAAAAAGTTTTACCAGGTGAGAGTCGCGCAATGTCGATGACAAGGCTCCACCTCCCTCCCCCCGTACGGTGTCCTGGTTTTGACAAAAGCAAATATGGTCACACTAACCTGTATTCCACTGAGTCGTGTCTTTTAATCCGACAGAAGTTGACCGCATCAGCGACACAAGAGCTGTATTTTTATCTTCGCTTAGTTTATGCAAATTAGCGATGCGGTTTTAAGTTTCGTTTCTGTGAGAGTTGTGCAAAACTGAATTAAACACATTATAATGTCAAACGGCTGATGTGGATCTAAAGTCGTTACGGGTTATATGTTGTAAAGTTGAATTTATTTATGCAGATTAGTAGTGCAGATAGTAATAATAATGATGATCATTTTAATATAAAAACGTTAACGATTAATTGATAATCGATCGTTAATTCTTCCGACGATCGTTTAAGAAAATTTCATCAAATGCCCATCCTTACTTTCCATACATCTAGAATGATAGATAGACAGACACCAGAAAAGTCACATTATTCACCTTTAGATAACTTTTGGTGTTGGCACTTGGCATATATTTCATTTATATTGTAATGTAATGTATGACATAATAGAGAAGAAATACTAATGTAAGGAGGAAATCTCACCTTAATGACTTGATTGCATTAAATTGGATTAAGTGTTAGCACTATATATTTAATAGCCAGACCCTTCATTAGAGACCTTAATGTCACTTAACTTATGCTAAGAGTTAAAGCTGTTATCATATTCAGATACAACATTGGTTTCTATAAAGGGGTCATGTTTAATCTGTGTGTCATTCATTCATTCGTTTTTCAAAATAAAACGAAAAATAAGAAAAAAAAAAAAAAACAACTATTTACCGTATTTTACGGGCTATTAGGCACTCTGGATTATAAAGCACACTGTTATGAAATGGTTTATCTTCGAACTTTTTTCACAAATAAACCGCACCGGACTTTAAAAAACACAACAGTTGGATGGGTCAGTTGGACTTTGTCAGTGACTCTGGGCTTTGTTCAACTGTGGCACGTAGGGAGGGTGCTGTCTGGGACCGCTGGAATGTTGACATATTTGCAGTGACTCAGTTGTTCAGTTGTGGCTCAGAGTGGCACATCACACTCGTTTTTTCAGTTCGTTCCTCCGTTCCGTTCCTCGACTGTGGGGAGTGATGAGTGTGTCTTTGGGTGTGTTTCGCTGCGCGGTCACTGTCTGCTCCGTGTGTGTTTATGTGTGCCGCTGGTGGTGTGGCTTTGTAGTTTACTGAAGTCATAATGGGACACCCGAGTGGATTCGTGTATAGGGCACTGTGGATTGCGGGGGGCGCAGTCGTTTTTTGATAGGGTTGGAGGTAATATACAGTACTTCATTATCTGTCTCCAGAACGAAAATTAAAGTTTTTTCAGTTTTAATTTTTGTGTTTAAATAAATAATGGACTGAACCAGGACTAAAACAAGACTAAAACAGGACTAGACCAGGTCTAAACCAGGACTAAACCAATCCTGAGTGTCGGGATGCGCCCTGAGGTGCACCCGCAGAGACTGTCGGGTGACCAGGACTGAGACAGGGACCAGACTAGGACTGAGACCAGTTTAGTCGTGTTTTAGTCCTGGTTCAGTCCTTGTTCAGTCCAGCATCGCAGTTTAAGTCACAGAAACTGCCGTTATCTGTTTTTTCCATTATTCATTTAAACACAAAATTCAAAACTGACAAAAACGAATCATTATCCATTTTTTCATTTTGGTTTCGGAGACATATAATGAAGAAAACTTTTTTTTTTCTTCGTTTTCTTACTTTTGGTTTTATTTTGAAAAACAAATGAACGAATGTTACACAGATTATGCTTCATCTGTGACTTAACCATATTTGTTTATATTGAAAATGTGGCTTGTTCCTTCAAGGTGCACTGGGTAACATTTCTGGTCTGTCACCTACTTGTTATTACTTTACCTGTAATACTAGACAGTATAGGAATCAACATCTATTAATCGTTTATGTCATTATACAGAAAATATACCTGAAAACATGCATTTTTGGGGTTACTGGAGTCACCTTTTCATAGTTTTGCCCTTTGACTTGGCCTAGTGACGTCTACGTGGAGATACATAAGTTATTTACCATACCAGCCAAAAGCAATAACATCTCCATAGATACAGTTTGTGGACCCACTACCTCTAAAGTTACACAGTGCACCTTCAACTCTAATGAGCATTATAGAATGACTGAAACTGAAATTCCAATACCCATTATCCAAATATGTTGAAACAGTTAAAGCCTATTTAATATCAATTTTAAGTCTGGAGTGTTTATTTATTTCTACCACTAAAAAGCACTTAATTCAAATTTCAATGTGTCTATAAAGTCGGATGAGAACTCTCAAACTGAAAAAAAAAAAAAAGCCTTCAAACAAAGCCCTCTGAGTGCATGATGTGAGTGTAAACAGTGTTAGTGTCCATGGCAGATGCCTGTATATGAGTCCTGATAGATCCCCATTACCCCTGGTGTGACCTCTCACCGCTCAGTTCATTAAGTGGCGGCCACCTCAATGTCCAGCGCTCCAGTCCAGATTTAATCACACTCCCGCTCCTCACGCCAATCACAATCACCCGCAGATAAACCTCCACAGGACAGCACCCAGAGGCCCATACTCTCTCACCCGGGCTAATTTGTGAGCAGCAAGGGTCCGGCTACAGGCCAGGGGTCAGCTGATTGAAAACATGCAGGTGGAGAGGGCGCTGAGGTGCTCCTGACGGGGGGCCAGTCTGCAATTATAAAGTTAATCAGTATTCGGCTTGTAGCTAAGTGAAGCATTACCTTCAGAGTGGTGCGTGCTAATAAGACTGGGCCCTTAAGTCTTTAGGTAGCCACAGTGTAAAGGTAATTTCACACACTCGGATTCACCTGTGAGCTGCGCTGCCTCCTACAGGGCCCTCTGCTAAATGTGCTCAGTCCAGCTTTAATTATACACTGTCTCAACTGTCGCCGAAGTGAATTAAGCACAGGTACAGACCGTGCTCACAGTGCAGGGGACAGAGGGTGCAAGGATCCATTATCAGGAGCATCAGTCACACTTGCACTGAATTTGGTTTTACCACCTGATTTTATTTGCTCTTTGGGAAAAAATAAATAAAAGTAAATAAAAATTGATACCTTGCAGTGACATCATGCTGAAAAACCGGCTTGGCATTGTATTTCAGGATAAGTCTTTTCTCTTTTCCCCATTATCCCAATACACAGCATTTTCTCAATACAAAAAGGATGGATTATGGCTGCACAATTTTCGGGAAAACATTTTTATTGTGATAGATAGATTTGAATAAATGTTTAAATATTCCCAGTGCATGTTGCAAACAATACCAGGAACATTAACATTTGAGAGAAGACTGAAATATGAACTGATAAACTAATACAAGAATCCAATACATTTCAGAACATGTTTGTAGAGGTCTGAACTAGAGGTAAAAAAGATTTTCAATCAAAAAGACCAGATATTTTGCTCTTTGCAGAGTACATCATCAAAATAAGTAGTTCTCAACCTTTTTTGTGTCGAGTACCTCTTGAGTTTTCTTTTACACTCCAAAGACAAATAAATATTAACTACAGTGTTGCCAATTATTTGGATCAGAAAACTCATGGCATATATGCCTCAAAAACAGCAATAAGTTCAAATGTTTGTGCAGAGAAATGCAAATCTATTACAGAAATCTTTTTTAATTGATGAACTCTTTCTTTTACAAAATATTATAATATAATGAACAACCTGAAACTTTAAGAAAATGCAATTTCAACACAATGTTTTAACATGAACTTGTATACAAATAGGAATAAGTCAGTTTTTCTTGGAAAATCCTGCACTCGACGTCCACTTTTCTCATTTTTGAAATTTTGTTGATGAAGGTGCCACGGTCAACAGTTAAAAAGATCGTCCTTTAAGAGCGTTTGGAAAGAGACAAGTCTTCATTTGTGCTGCTCTGATGGGAGGGGCCACGCACAGAGGCTCTGGAGATGCAGCTATGTTAAGCGGTGCAGAAAATTACCAATATTTTAATAGAAAATATAGTTAACATATTTTAGTAGAAAATCAGCCGAGGGCCAGATTAAAGGTCCTGGAGGGCCGGATCTGGCCCCCGGGCCGTATGTTTGACACCCCGGTCTAAAGGATATCAAATTTGATACAAAGAACTTTAGTTTACAGCCTTTACAGTTTAAGCTTCACCTTTTTAATCTGAAACCATTCTATTTACCCTCCAGTAAATGGCTGGGTACCCCAAGAGGTCCCTTTACCCCTGGTTGGCAAACACTAAATAAATAATCGCTCAATTACTCAAACTGTGATTTAGATTTGATTTTGATATATTGCGGCGCTTGTAACCATGACTAAAAACACAAGTGACATTCAAGCGCGTCTATCTTAGCGCCCCTCTGACCTCTCGTCGTGTGGTGCTGTGTTGTTTGCAGGCCAGCTGGCAGCGGGCACATGTGAGATAGTGACACTGGACCGGGACAGCAGCCAGCCCCGGAGGACCATCGCCAGGCAGACCGCCCGCTGCGCCTGCAAGAAGGGCCAGATCGCAGGGACCACGAGAGCCAGACCAGCCTGCGTGGACGGTAAGAGGGCGAGGAGCTGAGGGGTTAAGGGGGTAAAAGGGATGGATGGGTGTTGAGCTGCGAGCTGTGAGCTGAGAGTTTGGCTAAGTGAGCACAGTCCGTTATGGGGGACTGTGTGCACTCATTATTGGAATGTTGGAAACGGGTCTCATTTAGAATTTGGTATTTTGCTGTTTTGTAGTTGTAAAAAAATAAATAAATAAAATACCAATAATTAAGTACAGTATGTACATCAACATCATATAGATTGCTTTTTATTTCCTATTTGAAATTATAAATTGTAGGGGAGGAAAAAGAAAAATTTAAGACTTAAAATTTAAGATTTTATGGGAGTTCATGATGACTAAAACTACTCCATCCTCTATTGGCCAACATCAGCTGTCCCCACTGTATCCATTCTCTAAAGGTGCACTATGCAGCTTTTCAGGTGGAGGGTCTGAGATCTGACTGCGTTGCCTGGAATGTTATACAAAATGGCTTTAAACTCTGCAAATATATATTTTATAATCTTTAAAAACATGCATTCTTGCTATGAGAAAATAGGCCTCTTAGCAGATCTGATAAGTTATTTGGCCTTGGTGGCATTGTCGGCTTATGTCCATGGTGTAAAAAATTCAATGCTATTCTGTGTAACATCTCAGGGAATGCAATAACATCTCAAAGGTGAAGTGCCTTCCACCGGAAAAGCTACACAGTGCACCTTTAAGCCAGACTCACCACCATTCTGACTTAAATGCTACCAAACTGCATTTAATTAAGTGGTTTAATTAAAATAGTTAGAGCCTTGCATAAATCTTGACATTTGAAGTGGGCCAGTTGTGGGCAAATGAAGCCATCTCTGGGGGCTGACTGGTGTTAATGGTTTGGGGGCTCTTTGGGTCAGCCTGGTTTTAAGCTCAGGCTTAAGGTGGATCAGCCTACAGTGTGGAGCGGGCTGGATCACAGCGCTGCTTTGTGCTGCCTGTAAAGCCCAAACCAAACCAATTTACACTGAGTCATTTCAACATGTGGCTGTGGGGGGCCCATAATCCCACCAGCAGCACCAGGGCTTAGGCAGGCTTTCATCAAATGAGGAGCTCTTATTTACCAAAGGCAGATTTTTAGACTGGAAATATCTGTGTTAGTAACATGGATATTTATTTCCTTTGATAAGCACAAATCTTGTTATGGTGTTTACAATGCATACCAACAGGGCAGAACAGCAAACCTAGAAGCAAAAGTTCATATGCCAATCAGATTTTGTGTTGCATCATGACTGTATGACAAGCTAAACTATTAGGGGTGTATGGTAAATCAAACACTGAGTACTTTTTAAAGCTGAATGAGATAACTGAATGTAAGAAAAGATCACTCCTTGATCTTGATGAATGTCTTTTATAGAGTCACTGAATTGTGATGTTATTATAATAAAATATAATGACAAAGAAAAATTTTGAGGTAAAATGTTTTATGTAATTAAATTAAGATCTGTAACTGACCCAAAAACACAGGCTTGACACTTGAAAAAGCCACTTCAGAAAAACAAGATCTGTCTTTTAAATGTGGAGCACTCGACGCACTCAGGGACATTGTGTCAAGCAGAGAATTCACAGTTTTATTTTTAACACAGTTGTAACAAGTTACTGCACAGTTCTCAGAAAAAGAAAAAAAAAACACTGGCTCCTGCATACTCAAAATCTCATTATTGTGAGATTTTTTTGTTATAAAACAAAAAAAATTACATGTAAACTGCAAAATCATCTGGTTTCTTATTGATCATGGTCCCTCTGATTGTGTGGTTTGCATCTCATTTCAATAATATTAATATATATTAAAATCAGATGATAATATTTTTGGTATGAATGTAAACAAAGCCACAGATAAACAATGTCCAGTCCACTTCTTGCATGGACTGCGTAAATTTTATTTTATTTTTTTACCAGAATATTATGCAAATGTATTTGTACCCTGGCCCATCAATGCTACACTTTCCCTATTCATTACAAAAACATACAGTCTGGGACCAGATGCTAATAGTCATAATCATAGCTAACTCAGTTATGATTACATATTTATATATAACGCTTATATGACACTCAAAAACGCTTCAACACATCCACATTAACCAATCACAATCTATTCTTAATAAAGCAAACATGGCGGAGCTTATAGAAAAGAAAAAATATATATATACATAGATGCACTTCTGCCAAATCAATGGCCAGATCACTAAACATTGTTCCCTGAAGATTTACAATTTCCTTCTGATTAATACAAGGTTTACAACACATGCTGCAAACTGTAATCTACAAAAAAATATAGTAATAGAGAAATGAAATAAATATGGTTTATTTTTAGTTTCACTATTATTACTTTATAATAGTGGTATCAGTGGTACTATATCCCCTAGTCTGGTTTTTTAGCTTCACCAAATACCTATCCGGTCATAAAGTAGGCTAACACCACTTTTCACACATTTCTACTCTGACACTTCTGGCAGAGGCTCATCAGGAGCTTGTCATTTGTCCCCAAAAGTAGGTGTAGGTAATGGCTAAAAAGACAGCAGCACCCAGGTGTATTTTTAGGACAAGGGATTCAAACTAAATTACGTAAAATTGACTCTTGTGAGCTTTAAGCCATGTTAGAATATTGTTACCTCGTTAAAAACATTCCTGGAGTTGTGTTTTGTTTCATTCACACATGTATGAGAAACCTTTTATTATTAGTCTGTCTACATTTGCAAAGCTCAAAATGTTCTGTTCCACCTTATGATGTTAACATGAAAACTACCACTATATGAAATCTACCTTTTTACCGTCAGTTCAGGTTCAAAAATACAGTGGAGCACTTCCTATATTAACACATGACATCATTTCTGTTTGAGAAAAAATCTCTGCCTAAATAGTTGTGTGCTAATTGTGTGTAAATGAAACAAAACACAAATCCAGACATGTTTTAATGAGGAAACAGCATTATTAAATAGATCAGAAACAAGTGTATGATGGCCTTTAAATTATTATAGCCCTGCTTCAGAGAAAATGTACCAATAAATAAAGTGTAGGTCAGTGGTCCATTGATGTGGTAAAGAGCCATCTACCAACAAATGTCATGATTTTTTGAACTCGAATCTGATCTTATACATGTAACTCCATCTTCTATGAGACCTATTGATGTAAATCCACTGTATCGGATTGTATCGAATGGCATTCATCACAGTGTGGGTCTAAAAGAGCTGTTTGGCATTTGTGTGGGCAAGATATGGGCTTTGTGAGGAGGGCTCTGCTTATCTGCAGGTTTAGAGCCACTGCCTCTGAGCGGAACCCATATTCACACTTAAAAGAGAGTTATATTCATTCTATGAGCCAGAAATAAAATACACACAAGACATGCAGCAGAATTTGAGCCACTATGCTTTTTCAATGCAAGAAAAACTGCCCTTCCTTCACTTTATGAATGTGAAAATGTATATGATAAAGATCAACTTCTGTGCAATTTGGGGGTTTTGTTGAATGTCTGTGTTCACATCCAGAATGAAAATGTTGAAAAAACCTGCAGTGATTGTTAAGTCAGAAAAGAAATTTCTGGACAGGTATACAGTAAAAACACATACTGTACATCATCTAATTGTAGAATCTAACTATTGAATTACTCAAAAACTACATGAAATATTGCCTTTATGAACAACTTTAATAGGTCCATATCATGCTATTTTCTGATCTCTGTTATGTGTCCTCATTACCACTGTTGGGCAAGTTACTTTGAAACTGTAATGCATTATTTATTACCTATTACTGTCATTTCAAAGTAATTCGTTACATTACAATATTACTGCATTTAAAATGTAAGGCATTACATTACTATTGCATTACTTTAAGTTACTCTCACCAAAATAACTTTTGCACTGTATATGGACTGAACCAGGACTAAACCAGGTCTAAACCAGGACTAAACCAGAGCTGAACCAGGACTAAAACAGGACTCACTGTAGGGACGGGCTCGAAGGTGACCGCAGGAGAAAGGAGCGGCTCTGCTCCGCACCTCACGGAGGTAAGAGCGGCTGTCACCCGATCGCTCTTTATGGACCCTGCTGCTCGGGCTCGTGGCCCTGATTTCAGCAACTATTTGCAGGTACCCGAGCCGGTGCAAGAGTCTGTTACAGCGCGTAACTTCTACCTTCCTTCAGCGTGTCCAGAAGTCCAACTTTTTGTGTGATGGTTTGCATCTTCCTCTGCCTTTTGGGTGCGAGCGCAGGAGCCTTTGTCGGTGCAGAACGTTTCGTCGACGTTGTGGGTTTTCGTCGGGGAGAAAACTTGCAGACATACAGCACTTCAGAATCACACTGCTAGAGATTGAACATGTATTTAAATTTGGCAGCTGAACACATTCTGTACTGTACTGTAAAGGAGACAGGAGTCCCTTGGCCAGTCAGGACGCAGCGGGAGGAACGCATTACACATTCATACAATGTAAAAAAAAAAAAAAAAAGGCATGCAAAATTGCACACACAAAAAAAATCTGCGAGACCGCGAAAAGTGAACTGCGATAGAGGGAGGGACGAGTGTAAACCAGGTCTAAACCAGAACTGACCCAGGTCTAAACCAGGTCTAAACAGCGTGGAGTTCTTTGTCAGTCCTTTCGCCCGCGGTTACCTGAAGGTCTATGAGGGCGCATCTCCGGCGTTTCACCGCTGCTGATATCGAGGTGATTTTAGCGAATTTGTATGAAGAAAAAAACAACACTTCAATCCAGGTAAAAAAAAAAAAAAAAACATTGTAACGCGCGTTACTCACATTTGTACCGAGTAAAATATTACTATTTTTTCCCCTGTAATGCCTTACATTACTGCGTTACAGCAAAAAGTAATGCATTACTGTAATTCGTTACTTTTATAACGCGTTACTCCCAACACTGCTCATTACAAACATACCTGGAGTTGTGTTTTGTTTCATTCACACATGTTTAACACTCAAATCCTGCATTTTTAGGCTGAGTTTTTTCTCAAACAGAAAACACTCTCTTCT